TCTCAAATATATAAAATGTCTAGATAGTATAACCAACAATCAGTATACCCGCTCACTTAGCTTAAGAAATTAACAGTACAGATATAATCAAAATATCTTCTGTGACCCTTTTCCCTTTCTTTAATCTAGAAATAACCGCCCTCCTAAATTTGCTGTTTATTCCCATGCATTTTTGAGATTATTATGGCCATTGGCACTCTTCATTTGTTTGTTTTCCACTTTGTATAAATAGTGCTATTCTGTTTGTATCCTTCTGCAGTTTGCTTTCTGGTTCAGGTTAGGTTTTTGAGATTTATCTATGCTGACATGTAATTTTAGCTATTTGTTTTCACTGTATACACGAGTGTTCCATTACATGAATATACCACACTTTGTTTTCCTCTTTGGACACTTAGGTGGCTTGCAGCTTTTTGCTACTACAAATATTGATGTAAAAAAAAAATTATATATGTTTATATATATAAATATTTATATATCACACACATACACACACACACACTCATCTTCTTTTACAAATATGCATGGTTGGCTCTGGTTTGTAAGTCTCATATTAGAATGGCAATATACAATTTCTTAAATTATTTTTAAATTCCAACACAACTAAATAGCCTGTATTTCTTGGGGAGAGAGGGTTAAAAAGTAAAAAGGGACTTTTCCTATTTGAGAATATACATTGCATTGCATAGTAAGAAGACCTTGAATGAACTTTGGAGTCAAATTTTGGTTGGAATCTTGGTTCTCATATTACTTAGATATGTGCCTTTGGGCAAGTTGCTTAGTTTCACTAAGACTCAGCTTACTCGTTTATAAAACTGGGATAATTACAGTCATCTTTTAAGATTACTATTAAGATTAAACGAGATGAGCCTTTGGTTCTGGAAGATAATGGCCACTGTCTAAATTTCAGTTTCTCCATGCATCCTCCCAAAAAGCCATAAGACCAAAAAGGACCACACGCGCACACGCGCACGCGCGCGTGCTCGCTCGCTCTCTCTCTCTCTCTCTCTCTCTCTCTCACACTCACACACACACACACACACACACTCACACAAACCATACCTAACTCATGCTTCCAGCATTACTACAAGATGGACAATACCATGAATATTAAATTACTTATAAATAAAGAAACAACAAATTACAGCAGCTCTTGTTGCTGAGTCTGGAGAGTAGGGGAAAGGAGAGGCTTAAGAGACAGTGAAAAAGAAAAGAGGAGATCGGTTATTAAAATGAAGCATAAAGTTACCCTCAAAAAGAAAATTTCCCCTACACAATTGGGAAAATATGTACATGTGAAACTGAGAGGGACCAGAAGTAGCAGCATCAGAGAGACATGCTCTTGTGAGCAAAGATAGAAAAAGAATGGTGCCCCTTGGAGCCATGCCAGTGAGAAGAAAGAAGGAAAGAGAAATTTAAGTGTCTTAGAGAAATGAGTGAGAAGCAAGGCACACCAGCCTCATGTCCACCCACCTGCCCATCCCTACTACCATCACAACGTCATCCATTAAAGCAGCTGCTCTTCCTAATCTGCAGAAGCAGACACTCTTGAACCAAGAACTCTTATCTATAAAATGCTCAGGAATAGAAATCAATCAAATGCCATACAAAGCTATTTTAAAAGGAATACAGAATGAATTAAATATCCAATTACTATGTTGTACACCTGAGACTAATATATTATATGCCAACTGTAATTGAAAAATATATTATTATAAACAATAAAATGTTAAAGGATGAATAGGGGTTTGTCTCCTAGATGTTGGCATTTATAATATCATATACAACTTTTTATTCTAGGTCAGGAGTTGTCAGTCTGTGGGGCCATGGGCCAAATCAGGCCTGCTGTCTGTTTTTATAAATAAAGCTATATTGGAACACATACACACAAAGGAATACAAAAAATGTGAATGCATTTTTCACTGATAAGAATTCTTCCCCAAAAAGCAAACACAAAACAAAGAGAAACTCCATTATAACACTCCAACCAAATGAAATATCCTTAAACTTGTGGACATAATAAATAGGAGCATTGATATAAGGAGCATTGATGAAAGGAAGGAAAATGACCAAAAGAATAAAAATGAGATGCAGAAAAAAGTAGAAAGCTTCAGAGAGAAAGTGTTTGAAGTGCACTACAGGCAAAGGAAGACCCAACATACGTAGAGTCCCTGAAGAAAAAAAATCAGTGAAACAGAACTAATTTTTAAACCATAACCCAAGAGAAACTTTTGAGAAATTAGGGAGAAAACTGAAATGTACATATTAAAAGGGCCTACCTTGGACAGGATGATCCAGAACAATGTACTCTGAGATATAAACTACTAGATCTTAAAGACTAGTAAACTATTACATTTTAAAGACATTTTTTTCTGGATCTCATAGGAGGGAAAAAAAGTTGACATTAAAAAAATTAAATGTACATCATACTTCTCAAGAACAACATACAAAGGAAGACTACAGTACAGCAGCAGTTTTGAAAACTCAAGGACACAAGGTTCAAGCTAGCCAATCTGTCCTTCAATTATCAGAGCTATGGACAAAACAATTTTGAACATGAAAGGATTTAGGAAATATTTAATGAGAATTTAATATATTTAATTGTAGCTCCAAGACTAAAACAGTGGTGGGTCATAGGTATAATTGTTATATGTTTTGACAAAGTAGAAAGAATGAAACTAAAAATAAATGAGTGGAGAGAGAAAGAGATAAATAGAATACATCATTCCCTATTGTATAAGTAATAAGTGGGAGTTATATGACACCACTTAAAATGAACAGACCAGATCGCAAAAGATTAAGTAAGCAAAAAAATTTAGGAAACTCAAAAATACATGCATACTCACACATAAACGCACACATAAACACACAAGTAAGTATCAAAGGTAACCACTGAAACAAAAAAATGCAAATCTTCCTGAATACCAAAAGAAAGTTTTTAAAAGGCCAGATACCAACTAGAGAAAGAAAATGGGTAAATGTGAATAATAAAAATGGTAATTATAGAATACGGAATTCAAACATATTGATCATATCCATAAACTTAATAGGCTTAACTCACCTATTAAAAAGATTTTCAAATGGCTTTATAAAGAAAAACCCAGTTCTATACTGTGTACAGGAGACACATTTAAACACAGTGATTCTTAAGGTGAAAAAAAGGGATATACAAAAACATCACAGGCAAATGGAAACAATAAGAAAGCATCTCAATGGACAAAGTAGAACCTGGGCAAAAAATCATTAAACACATCAGAGTATACATTTTAGTGTTAAAAGCCATAATTCACAATGAAGTTATCTTTCAGTATGTAAGTACCGAATAACATAGCAAAACCTAAATGTAGCAGAATTGCTATAGCAGAATGCAGTTGACCCTTGGACAACTCAGGTTACGCAAGGGTTAGGGTAACCAACCCCCTGCACAGTCAAAAATCTATGTGTAATTTTGACTCTCCCAAAATTTAGCTGCTAATAGCCTGCTGTTGACCAGAAGCCTTACACCAATAACAAAAAGTTAACATTTTGTATATCATATGTATTACATACTGTATTCTTACAATAGAATAAGCTAGAGAAAAAAAGTGTCAAGAAAATCACAAAGAAGGGAAAATACATTTATTGAAAAAAGTCCACGTATAAGTGGACCCATGGAGTTCAAACCCATGTTGTTCCAGAGTCAACAGTATAGGATAATGCAAGAAGTAATAGAAACACATAATAGATTTTGAATACATCGCTGTACAAATCTTGTACAATAAGATGTTTCAAGGCCATCTAGTAAATTTCCTGTCCCAAAACGGGAATTAGGCATATCTTCAAGGACTCTTGGTTCTTGTAGTGGGAAATGATAAGAGATCACAGTCTTTACGTCAGGAGTGCTCACTTATACTGGTTGGTCTTTGTTTCTAGGCTTTAACAGTGGACAGAGTTTAGGACATTTTTAGAAGAAAACATGCGTCATTAGTTCATATTGACATTTCTAATCAAAATTTAAAATTATGCAGTTTTCTTTGATTTTTATATCTCTTTTTCTTATACTAGAATAGAAATCTAGGGTCCTAATGATAGTAACAAAATTAATATGTTCATCTTAACCTACAGTTTTAAATTAACAATACTGATATTATTCTAATTATTAACAATTATAACAGCGTAGATACTGCAGAAGGTTTAAGCTATATTTGTAATATTTTCGTCAATGGGCTATATCCTAATATGTATGTACAAATTACCACGTTTTAAATCCACTTGAAATAATTTCTCTATGTGATTAAATCACCAGCTCTACATAATTAAGTTCATTCGTTTCATTTTGCTTTTTATTTTTAGGACTTTGTTATTTCAATTTTATTTTTGTTTTGGTTTTTAAAATTTTTGAAGGATTCAAGATGCCTTAGCTGACAGTCATTTGTTTCAATAAATAAACAAACAAACAAGCAAACAAATTGCAACTGTAAGCCTTGGGTTTATAGAAACAGTGTTTAATCAAAGAAGTATTTATTCAAGAAAATTTTTCTCAATTTTTTTTCTAAAATAAGTAAGAAATTTACTATAATCAAAGGTTTTAGTTATTCCTGTGTACTAACTGGGAAACTCCAAGACTGCCCTAAAAAGTGCATATAATACCCTATTATTACACACTATTGCTAAACTACTCTGAGGGTTTATATCAATATTTTCTAAGACATTGGAACTATCAGCAGAGTCTTGCATGAAACTTGTCTTAATCCCTTAGCTTACTAATTTTGGTTACTCAGGGCCTCGGTCATACCTTTCTGATGCCAAAATAATTATTTGTAATATTTAGTACAAGTAAAATAATATGCTGAAAAAAAATTATATCCTATGGCTTAAAATCTGAAATTTGAAACTTTAAAAGATTCTTTTGAGTCATGAAAATCTGTTTTTGCCATAGCAGTAGCAAGAAGTGAAAGTGTAGTTACCATGTCTTTTTCTGGGAGGTTAGATCTTAAAATGTATGATTCTGTGATTTCTTTTAGAGGCCGATAAAATACCAGTAATGCGTGGACAGTGGTTTATCGATGGTACTTGGCAGCCTCTAGAAGAAGAAGAAAGTAATTTAATTGAGCAAGAACATCTCAAATGTTTTAGAGGTCATCAGATGCAGGAAAGTTTTGATCTTGAAGTGTCAAAATCTGTAGATGGAAAAGACGGTAAGACCAATTAATACATTTAATATGTAAACCAAGTAAGTTGTTAATAAAGTTTAGAGTGGTTCCTAAGTTTGACATAGTAATTTAAGAGTGTTAGAATTTATAAAATTTCTCATTATTTTAAACATTTGATAATTGTTTAAAATTTTAAAACTGAATTTCTGAACTATCTTTTATTTTACTTAGTATGTATGTTCAATAGCAAGACATTAGCTAACATGATTTACTGTAAATGACAAATTATTATAATGGGTTCTCTGAATTTATCCATTTCAGTTATTTTCAGTTATCAAAGAAAATTGAACTTATAAAAAAAATTCCTTGTCATATCAAAAGAGCAGTTTTGTTAATATTTTAAGGTTGTTTCTTTTTCTGAAGTTTAAAAAAAAACTTTAATTTCCTTTGCGTAAATATCTCTTAGATGTCTCTATATTGATAACCGTATCATCTTTTAATTTTAAACAATCTAGTTCTTACATTTCCTTATTCAGCATTTGAATATGTTTACAGTAGTTCAAAATACTTATATAATAGCCAAGATTACTGTGTTTTGTTATGTGTCTGCTCTTGAATAAAATTCAAACATGTGGTAAAGTTAAAAATACTTCTATTGTTCATTTACTGCAGGCAGTGGGATCAACTATTCTGGTGAGTATAACAGTACAGGTGGATTAGCATTTTTAGATTTCTCTAGATTTTTTTTTTCTCTAAAAGCATTTCTTCATTCATACTTGCCTTTATTTGGGAGGTTTCTTGGCAAGCCCTACTAAATCTAGTGAATTGAGTAATTTTTTTCCTTCCCCTATTTCTAAAGCAGAAAAACTCAATATTGATCGAGTAGTCAAGTAATTCACAGACTGCATCTTGGAAGAAATGAATTTTGTGGTTGAAAGTAATTGTTTTCATAATTAATGGCAAAACAATAAGCTTTAAATGTACTTATTTTTTTCTTATTGTTAGTAACATCCTAAGTCTTTTCTCTCTCCTATTCTTTACTCTCTTATCTCTCTCTGAACACACACATATATGCACACACACAAGCAAAGAATCTGTATAGTTTAGCTTATACCAAATTAAAATGTCTTTTGTATCTAGTTGATTAAAAGTCTACATAACTGAGGAAAGTTGTGGCTTCCGAATAAATCAGCAATAAATCTAACAAATATGTATAATAATAGTTGTCTATTATGTGCCAGATACCAATGCTAGAAATTTTATTTATTTATTTTTTATTTTTAGGCGAGGCAATCCTTGGTTGACCTCACAGATTACAAGGACCTTGTCAGTTTACAATCCCTTATTTTTTATTTTTTACGTCTACAGCACCTGGTCTTCTAGGTGATCTCCCATCCAAGTACTAACGGGCCTGACCCTGCTTAGCTTCTGAGATCAGATGGGATCGGGCTTTTTCAGAGTAGCATGGCCATAGACTCTATGAATTTTAAATATTTCATTTTCCTAATCTGTAGTCAAATATATCATTATTTCAGTGTAAAATCCAAGCTCAAGGTTCTTACATATCAACATGTAAAGAGCAGTTCA